CAACACTTCCATATTCAGTACTGCAAGAACCATATCAAACACTCAACACTTCCATATTCAGTACTGCAAGAACACTATGAAACATCCAACACTTAAATATCCAGCACTGCAGGATCCCTGTCAAACATTCAACACTTTAATACACCACAATGTAGGATCCTTTTCAAACATCCAATGATGTAAGATAGCTTTCAAATACTTTTAGAACAATAACTTGCATGAAACAAGAGTTATGATATTATGGGTAAGAGTAACCTACCATTACTAACAAAAGGATGCTTTATTATCAAAAAGAGAAATATAGGAGGGAAATATCATTAAGTCATACTAAATTAACAATAACTGGTACAGGAGTATAATCAAAACCTACACTAGAAATACAAATGATAGAAGATAATTCTCAAACACTTAATATTTAGTATCAGTAGTGTAGGAATACTGTCAAACATCCTACACCAGGTGATACAAGATCACTCTCAAAACCTGCTATTTTTATGATTAGTGGTATATGATTTATGTCAAATGTATAACACTTTTTTAATTCATATTAGAGGCTGTCTACTACACTTCTAAATCACTTAAGACTAACAGTAAAGCATAATTATCAAAATATATGATACAGATCACTGTCAAGACTAAAAAATCCATAAGAACTGTTCTATGCATAACAAAGACTTAAGGCCTAGAATCGTATGGCATTACAAACTCCAATAGCTAAGGATTAATGCATCACCATATAAAATATGGAATTTATCTTACACATCCTTACTTCTATAACTCACACACTATCTTTCAAAATACAAGCACCACAAATACCTGAATTTTATTTATGTAAAACACTTTATATCCATTTTTTCTTTTAATGTTTTCCATCCCTAAATGCCTGGAAATTATGTTTCTCTTTCTTTTTTGAACTACTTATATCAGAGACAAACAAGCAAGATAACAATTATAACATCTATTAATTCAAAAATCTAAATATACAGGTATTTTATAAATAAGGCAGAAATGTACCTGTATTGAACTAAAGAAATAAACATATTTTTTATAGTAGTAACAAACCTAACAAGAATAATACCTTGTATCATGAAGTTTTTGATAACTCTGTGAAACTTGGATCCCTCATACTTATATCCCTTGACACCTTTTCCAGCAAAAGCTTTAAAGTTATCTACAGTTTTGGGCACAATTTTCCCAAACAAGCCCATTACAATTGTACCAGCTGGATCTCCATCAATTGTAACTTCAAAAGTTACTTTATCAGTGATGGTAGCATTTTCTCCCTAGAAGAAAAAAAAAGCATATACTGTGAATTGGTTTGATGACCATGAAGCAAAGATTAACAAATGATCAACTGGTAAGTTATCACAAATGTTTTGATACAGAAACTACTTTAAGGTACCAAATAATTCTAGGCAATAGCTATCGTAATAAGTTAAAAATAATGCTGGCTACATACAATATTGTCAGTTACCTAATGTACTGGAATACAGATATTGTCCTAAGTTAACCAAAATACTATGTGACATTGTTGTCAGTTGCCAATAATACTGGACTACAAATAATGTTGTAAGTTACCCATAATGCTACTAGGCTACAAACACTGTTGTAAGTTAAACATAACACTAGACTATACACAGCAATGTAATATTTCCAAATTGCTAGGTTACAGATGTTGTGGGTTACCCAAGCTGCTAGGGTACAGATTTTTAACTTACCCATAATATCATGCTACAGATAGAGTTGTAAGTCACCCATAATACTAAGCTACAGTAAGTGTTGTAAGAAATCCATAAAGCTAGGCTACATATCTTGTCATAGTTAACTTAGCCTTAATGCCAAACTACAGACATTACTACATATTATCTGCAAATTGTAATTCTAAGACATAAGTGCCTCTAGTGGCTCGGTGGTAATTCTGAAGGCTTATAATGCTAACAGTTGGGTCTTCATACTTGTGGTTTGTACAGCACAGGTAGTTCATTATAATTTGTAAATTGTACAGCTTTGCACTTAACAAGAAACATGCAGTTATAGACATTGTAGTAAGTTATGTGTAATGATTTATAGTAATAAGTTATGTTATTAAACTATAGACACTTTTATAATTTATTTGTCATGCTAGACTACAAACACAATAGTAATTTTTTATAGTATATACTAAGCTACAAATGTTGTAGTTTTTGTAATGCTAAGCTATATAAATTAAATAGTACATTATCTGTAATACTATTACTATACTACAAATTCTTGCAAGTTATTTATAAATACTAGACTGCAGATATTGTTGCAAGTTTTCTATGCTATCATAATTATGCTACAGACATCTTTGGCAGTTATCTGTAATGCTCTATAAGTATAACATAAGTCTCATTGTTTACTTTGTTCTAACAGTTTATATTTTCCCATGTTCCATGTCACACAATTCCGTATATCAGCAAAGAAAATTAATTCTAAGTATTTTTTTCATACCATAGGTATGTATATTAAAAAATGTCTAATTGGAAAATATCTAAAATTCACAATTTCAAAGTTTACATATATAACGCATTAAAAACTACTAAAATATATGGTGGTGCTCTATATTACGAAATAATATACTATATGATATATCCTAAGACCCAAGATATTGGTGGGTGCGATTTGAACACGACTTAAGTGTAAGATGGAAATAGACTAATTTCCTTCAAAATACCTCATTTGATATTTTTTGGTTTTACCAGCTCATATTTTATTACAATATGAAAACATTATATCTACTTTCTAAATCAATCTAGGCAATTATTTAGATGTGGCATAAATTATTAAATGTTAAGGCGTTCATAAACAACGACTCTTGGAAATGAATTAGAACATAAAAAACACTATACAAGTATATTTGTTATGACCATTTTGTGTAACAAGCGAAATATTGAATCAGATTTATCACACATTACCTAGTATACAAAACGGTTTGGTACTTACATAAACAAATTGCAAGCTACTGCAAAACACCAAAATTATTAAAACTGAGAATGAAATCATTTTGAGTACGTTATCACCTCCACATCAGAAGTGGGTGTAATCTAAAAGTTTTTTGTACAGTAAGAAATTTGAGGAGGGAGGGCCCTTTCTAATGGAAGATCATTCTGTTGATGGGCCGCTTAGGTTTTTTTTTTTTTATAATCAAAACAGCTAATTTAAATTTTCTGCTGTTACAGAATTTAAAATGTTATGTTGATTTCCTTATTAATTTTTCTTCACAATATTGAGTATCGTGAAAGTTAAAAATAATACTCCCAATAATTATATACATATATATATATAACACAATAAAAACAGTTTTTCTTGGTGTTTTTTACAAGCAACAACATTAATTTATTACTAATGGGTAATTATAACGTGCTATGATTCAAAATTATATATATCCCCAGTGGTACTGAGGTAAGTCTGGAGGCAATAATGCTAAAAACCAGTTTTCGATACTGTAGTGAGCACAATACAGATAGCCCTTGTGGAGGTCTGTGTTTAACTACTGTTACGACAGTGGGGGTCACGTGACGAGTATTCTAGAAGATTCGCTAGTGTTTTACGACAGCGGAAGTCAAGTGACGCTGGTAGCACGTGTTGAGAGTCTTAGAAGTTTCTAGAACAGGCAGTATTATCGTATATAAGTGCGCTAGACAGTGAGAGAGACAGACGACTTTGAATCGAATCTAGTTCGGAAGTTTTGAAGCGTGTGAGTTAGGAAATATGCCACGAAACAGCGCACGTGTTAGTAGTCATACTGAGAGAGGGGTGAAGGATGTGGACGACCCTCGCCGATGTATGAATGGGTCGGTTACTTCTTGCACTGATGGTGTGTCGCAAGACATGGATTTCGATAGGGACTGTGCTAGTAAACGAGTACGATTTGACTCCGGTTCGTATGTCGAATCAATCGGACACAAAAAGTCAACTACGGACAGG